CTAAAGAAGTTATCAAAACAACAATTATACTCAAAACAAACAACCTTTTAAAACTTTAAAACATGTATTATATACTTTTGTACTGTGTGATGTTTTTAATCTTGAACATCTTGGGTTTCACTTTATGGACTTTCCCTTTTACACTTATTTATCTCAGCATCTATTCTACTAATTTAAAATAATTGCAGCATTTTTCAAATGAAGTCAGTATGAATTGGAGCACATTTTAGACCAGGCTCCTGTGCTGCGTGCATCTGCAGCAGGAGGAAGGTCAGGTGCATCAGTAACATATTGGGGATCGTCTCTTGGGTGTAACATACTTTTTGGGTTCGTGTCTTGGGTGTAACATATTGGGGCTCGTCTCTTGGGTGTAACATATTGGGGCTCGTCTCTTGGGTGTAACATATTGGGGCTCGTCTCTTGGGTGTAACACCGTTTGGGGCGACCAGGATAAAGCTCCTATCCCAGGGCAATCATCACCAGGTGTCTCCGATTCACGGACAGAGAGCGGATCCTGAACGAGGCCAGGAAGAACCCCGTGCAGCTGTTTGGGAAGTCCATTTGCTTGGTCCCGGATTACAGTGATGCCACCTCCAAGAGAAGACGACCCTGCTGCCCGCTGATGTACCAAGCTCGGAGCGCTGGCTTTAGTGCTTTTCTGTTGTACCCAGCAACAATGAAAGTTGAAAAAGGAGGTGAACAACACTTCTTTGACAACTCCTCTGATGCGCTGGACTTCATCTCCAAGAAATGAATCCACGGGATCTGCTTATTGGTAAGACTCATGGATCTATCATGTAAGACTCCCATCAACAAGTTGACAGTTTCTGTTTTGTTTACTTCTGTACGCGATGACACTACTGGCTGGTGATACGACACGCCTACCTCACTTTCTTCTTCGGTTCATTCAAATGTAATAAAAATAAATAAATAAATAAGATGTCAAATATGAACTGTGGTTGCACATGGACCAAATGGGCTGATTATTGTTTTTACCCCAAATGACATCAAGGGGGGGTTGGGGTTGTTGTGTTTTTGTCCTTGTCTTGCTCTTGCCAGTCTATTCTGACATGTCTGTATGTATCTGTACAGTATGAGTGTGATTGTGTGGGAGTGGGTGAAATATTGTTTGTGTGTTTGCTTGGAAGATCATGTTGTTGTGTGCTTGTGTCTGTTGTGTGTCTGTTTGTGCTTGTGTCTTGTGTGTGTCTGTTGTGTGTCTGTGGCCCTTCGCTCTGTGACTGCTCCCCCTCTTCTCTGATTTATGTTTCTGAGAAAGAAATATATGTCCAGCTTGGATAGTATAGACTCCTCTGACGTTGAGGAGGCTGACACAAATATATATGATCTCAGTTCGGACCAAATGATCAAAATCACCAACAATATTAATTATAAATCACAAAGTTCAATGAATGAAATGGATCCGGACAGCAGTATTCTCAAACACAATGATTGTATGTATTTTACTGAAGACACATTTCACAAAGAATTCACACTGGATAACGTCATTTCTTTAGTTCACTTTAACAGTAGAAGTTTATTTGACAATTTTGATTCCATCCAGGACTGCTTAAAACAATGTAAATCCTTTGAACATAGTGGCTTTCTCTGAGACATGGTTAAGTAAGGATATGGGAAATGAGTTTCTAATGGATGGGTATGTTTTGTACTCACAGACACCAAAAACCTGGAGGAGGCGTGGCGCTGTTTATAGATAATAATAATAAATGTTCCATCATAGAAAATATGTCTTTAGCTGTTAATGATATTTTTGAATCTATCACAGTTGAACTTATAATTCCAGACAAGAGACTGTTATAAGCTGCATTTACCGTGCACCTGGAGCTGATCTGAAAATATTCAATGAATGGATGGAGAAAATATTGACCAACACAAACAAAAAAGATATAATCGTATGTGGGGACTTCAATATTGAGCTTTTAAACCCGAACAAACACAAACTTACAGAGGAATTTCTTGATTCCATGTTTTCAATGGGACTCTATCCACTAATCACAAGACCAACAAGAATCACATCACACAGTGCCACCCTGATAGACAACATCTTCTGGAACATTCTGGACAAAAACACAAGCGGCCGACTGATAATGAATGACATTACTGAGCATTTACCCATCTTCATGACCTATGACTTAAACTGCAAAACACCCAGAGCCACTCAAAACCAACACTACAGTAGAATGATCACAGAACATACAGAAACAGCTCTAAAACATGATTTAGAGAACCAGGACTGAACCCATTTATCTATCCTCAGATGTAAATGCAGCTTAGAACTCATTCCTCCACACATTCACATCTCTCTATAACAAACACTGCTCCATCAAAACATGCAAGAAAAGAGTCTACACAGAAACTGACAAAAGGGCTTGTAAATGCAAAAAGAAACATCTTCTAAAAAGGCTATTTTTAATGAAAGAACAAGAGAAACTGAAGTAAGACACAAGAGATATACAAATAAATTAAGCAGCATTTTAAGGCTAAGCCGACAAGATTACTACACAAATGTACTAATCACTAAGAAAAATGATATTAAAGCGATTTGGAATAAAATATGATTGCAGATGGATTTAACAGTTTCTTTGTGAATGTAGGAGCTGAACTTACAAAAAGAATCCCAAACAGTGAACCAGTGAGAGGACTGATGGAGGTAAATCCCAGATCAATGTTCCTCACTCCCACCAATGAGGAGGAAGTCCTCGGCATTATCACTTCATATAAAAACAAACGTTCACAAGATCTAGACAACATTGATATGAAACTTGTACGAATACAGCAAAGGAGATCATTAAACCACTCACACACATCTGCAATCTATCTTTTACACTTTTTCTCTATTGCTTAAACACGTTTCACGATACTGTCCTCCCTTTTCTCAAAACTCTAAACACAAACCTCTTTTCTAAAGCTCCGTACACACAACCTCACAGTCTCTTTACAAAACCGACCCATCACACCAAAACAGTTGCTCATATTCTCAAAAACAAAATACCTCTGAAGGTCTGCAAACATGTGAACAGTACTGAGCTTCATGAACCACTTCACCAAAACAATGGAAAACACACTTTTCAGAATGTGAGAAATAAATCTGAACCATGTGAGGAATACATCTGAACCATGTGAGAAATACATCTGAACCATGTGAGAAATACATCTGAACCATGTGAGAAATACATCTGAACCATGTGAGAAATACATCTGAACCATGTGAGAAATATATCTGAACCATGTGAGGAATACATCTGAACCATGTGAGAAATACATCTGAACCATGTGAGGAATACATCTGAACCATGTGAGAAATACATCTGAACCATGTGAGGAATACATCTGAACCATGTGAGAAATACATCTGAACCATGTGAGAAATACATCTGAACCATGTGAGAAATACATCTGAACCATGTGAGAAATACATCTGAACCATGTGAGAAATACATCTGAACCATGTGAGAAATACATCTGAACCATGTGAGAAATACATCTGAACCATGTGAGAAATACATCTGAACCATGTGAGAAATACATCTGAACCATGTCAGAAATACATCTGAACTATGTGAGAAATACATCTGAACCATGTGAGGAATACATCTGAACCATGTGAGAAATACATCTGAACCATGTGAGGAATACATCTGAACCATGTGAGAAATACATCTGAACCATGTGAGGAATACATCTGAACCATGTGAGAAATACATCTGAACCATGTGAGAAATACATCTGAACCATGTGAGAAATACATCTGAACCATGTGAGAAATATATCTGAACCATGTGAGGAATACATATGAACTATGTGAGAAATATATCTGAACCATGTGAGAAATACATCTGAACTATGTGAGGAATACATCTGTACTATGTGAGAAATACATCTGAACCATGTGAGAAATACATCTGAACCATGTGAGGAATACATCTGTACTATGTGAGAAATACATCTGAACTATGTGAGGAATACATCTGAACCATGTGAGAAATACATCTGAACCATGTGAGAAATACATCTGAACTGTGTGAGAAATACCTCTAAACCATGTGAGAAATACATCTGAACCATGTGAGGAATACATCTGTACTATGTGAGAAATAAATCTGAACCATGTGAGAAATACATCTGAACTATGTGAGAAATACATCTGAACCATGTGAGGAATACATCTGTACTATGTGAGAAATACATCTGAACTATGTGAGGAATACATCTGAACCATGTGAGAAATATATCTGAACTGTGTGAGAAATACATCTGAACCATGTGAGAAATACATCTGAACCATGTGAGAAAAACCTCTAAACCATGTGAGAAATACATCTGAACCATGTGAGGAATACATCTGAACCATGTGAGAAATACATCTGAACCATGTGAGAAATACATCTGAACCATGTGAGAAATACATCTGAACCATGTGAGAAATACATCTGAACCATGTGAGAAATACTGTACATCTGAACCATGTGAGAAATACATCTGAACCATGTGAGAAATATATCTGAACCATGTGAGAAATACATATGAACCACGTGAGAAATATATCTGAACCATGTGAGAAATACATCTGAACCATGTGAGAAATACATCTGAACCATGTGAGCCTCTGAAGTGTCCCTGTGTCTCCTCCTGTCGCCCTGAAACTAAAACTCACTACATTAAAGCTGAGGTACCTACATTTCCCCTGTATTTATAATGTATGTTGCACCTCTCTCTCTTTGACCTGCTCCTCTCTCTCTTTGACCTGCTCCTCTCTCTCTTTGACCTGCTCCTCTCTCTTTGACCTGCTCCTCTCTCTCTTTGACCTGCTCCTCTCTCTTTGACCTGCTCCTCTCTCTCTTTGACCTGCTCCTCTCTCTCTTTGACCTGCTCCTCTCTCTCTTTGACCTGCTCCTCTCTCTTTGACCTGCTCCTCTCTCTTTGACCTGCTCCTCTCCCTCTTTGACCTGCTCCTCTCCCTCTTTGACCTGCTCCTCTCCCTATTTGACCTGCTCCTCTCCCTCTTTGACCTGCTCCTCTCCCTCCTTGACCTGCTCCTCTCTCTCTTTGACCTGCTCCTCTCTCTTTGACCTGCTCCTCTCTCTTTGACCTGCTCCTCCCTCTCTCTCCTTGACCTGCTCCTCTCCCTCTTTGACCTGCTCCTCTCTCTCTTTAACCTGCTCCTCTCCCTCTTTGACCTGCTCCTCTCTCTCTTTGACCTGCTCCTCTCTCTCTTTGACCTGCTCCTCTCTCTTTGACCTGCTCCTCTCTCTCTTTGACCTGCTCCTCTCTCTCCTTGACCTGCTCCTCTCTCTCCTTGACCTGCTCCTCTCTCCTTGACCTGCTCCTCTCTCTCTTTGACCTGCTCCTCTCTCTCCTTGACCTGCTCCTCTCTCTCCTTGACCTGCTCCTCTCTCTTTGACCTGCTCCTCTCTCTCTTTGACCTGCTCCTCTCTCTCTTTGACCTGCTCCTCTCTCTCTTTGACCTGCTCCTCTCTCTCCTTGACCTGCTGCTCTCCCTCTTTGACCATTGTTGTTTGGAACCTGCTCTGACGTAAACAGTTGTGGTCACATCATTTGCAACAGGATTGTTCAGTTCTGATGGTTGTGTTTTCTGAATGACACCAGGTAGAGTGTGTTCACTGTGTTCAGGTTTTGCAGACTGTGAGAGGCCTTTTTCATCACATGAGCTTCACAGTGATTATGTGAGCAGAGATACATGCAAAAAGTTTTTAATCAAAGCCAAAATGTGTTTTAGCAAAGAAAAAATGTGTTTAGAGTTTCGAGAAAAAGGGGATGGTTTTGTGAACAGTGTCTACAGGAGAATTGTGTTTATGGTTGTTGAAAGTGGGGGGAAGTTTTGATGAAGGTGTTTAGGCAACTGGTCATTTGGTTTAGAGCACTGGGTTTTGTGTTGTAGCCAGTGCCGGCGTGACTTTCCCGGTGGGCTGGTTGGGCTAAGGGCCGGTGGGCTGGATGTTGTATGTTGCTGGTATGACTTGGCCGGGGGCCGTGCTTTCTTGACTGGTTGGTTGTCTGTAGATTGTAGGCGGGACTAAACGAGAGCGCGGGCTGAACCGCTGATCAGGTTGAATGACAGATAGAAAGAACTGAAGCAAGTGCCGTTTCTCACTGGCCTGACATCTGTTCAACTCAAGTGTTTTTAAAATGGAAAGGAACCAAAGCAAGGGCGGAGCAGAAAAAGTTTGAAATAAAAAAGAGAAAAGCTCTTGAAGCTGAAGAAGCCAAATGTGCAAAGTTGGTAGTTTTTTTCAATAAAAAGTGCTCCGCCGATGAAGAGGCATCAGACTAGCAAAAAACCACATGCAAAACACGACGTGATTCCCTAAATGATTAGCATTCTGTCAATAACAATGATTGCTTCTTAGGTCCTCAGATACAACACTCATCCATTCATATTAATGAAGAGCCTCAGGAACGGGCAGGTAAAGACCAAAAAGAAGATTTTATTTTTAATCAAATTTGACTAAGCCGGCCATGAATTTATTTATTTCATGATGTATAATGTATATTGCATACAGTGCCTTGCGAAAGTATTGAACCTTTGAACCTTTGAACCCTTGAACCTTTCAACATTTCGCCACATTTCAGGCTTCAAACATAAAGATATACAAATTTTATTTTTTGTCATGAATCAACAACAAGTGGGACACAATCGTGAAGTGGAACAAAATTTATTGGATAATTCAAACTTTTTTAACAAATAAAAAACTGAAAAGTGAGTGTGCAATATTATTCGGCCCCTTTACTTTCAGTGCAGCAAACTCAGTCCAGAAGTTCAGTGAGGATCTTTGAATGATCCAATGTTGTCCTAAATGACTGATGATGATAAATAGAATGCACCTGTGTGTAATCAAGTCTCCGTATAAATGCACCTGCTCTTTGATAGTCTCAGGGTTCTGTTTAAAGCGCAGAGAGAACCATGAAGACAAAGGAACACACCAGGCAGGTCCGAGATACTGTTGTGGAGAAGTTTAAAGCCGGATTTGGATATAAAAAGATTTCCCAAGCTTTAAACATCTCAAGGAGCACTGTGCAAGCAATTATATTGAAATGGAAGGAGTATCAGACCACTGCAAATCTACCAAGACCCGGCCGTCCCTCCAAACTTTCATCTCAAACAAGGAGAAGACTGATCAGAGATGCAGTCAAGAGGCCCATGATCACTCTGGATGAACTGCAGATAACTACAGCTGAGGTGGGAGAGTCTGTCCATAGGACAACAATCAGTCGTGCACTGCACAAATCTGGCCTTTATGGAAGAGTGGCCATTTCTCAAAGATATCCATAAAAAGTCTGGTTTAAAGTTTGCCACAAGCCACCTGGGAGACACACCAAACATGTGGAAGAAGGTGCTCTGGTCAGATGAAACCAAAATCTAACTTTTTGGCCACAATGCAAAACGATATGTTTGGCGTAAAAGCAACACAGCTCATCACCCTGAACACACCATCCCCACTGTCAAACATGGTGGTGGCAGCATCATGCTTTGGGCCTGCTTTTCTTCAGCAGGGACAGGGAAGATGGCTAAAATTGATGGGAAGATGGATGGAGCCAAATACAGGACCATTCTGGAAGAAAACCTGTTGGAGTCTGCAAAAGACCTGAGTCTGGGACGGAGATTTATCTTCCAACAGGACAATGATCCAAAACATAAAGCCAAATCTACAATGGAATGGTTCACAAATAGACGTATCCAGGTGTTAGAATGGCCAAGTCAAAGTCCAGACCTGAATCCAATCGAGAATCTGTGGAAAGAGCTGAAGACTGCTGTTCACAAACGCTCTCCATCCAACCTCACTGAGCTTGAGCTGTTTTGCAAGGAAGAATGGGCAAGAAGTCCAGTCTCTCGATGTGCAAAACTGATAGAGACATACCCCAAGCGACTTGCAGCTGTAATTGCAGCAAAAGGTGGCGCTACAAAGTATTAGCGCAAGGGGGCCGAATAATATTGCACGCCCCACTTTTCAGTTTTTTATTTGTTAAAAAAGTTTAAATTATCCAATAAATTTTGTTCCACTTCACGATTGTGTCCCACTTGTTGTTGATTCTTGACAAAAAATTAAAAAAATTAATTTTTATGTTTGAAGCCTGAAATGTGGCGAAATGTTGAAAGGTTCAAGGGGGCGAATACTTTCGCTAGACACTGTAAATAACATTTTTAACTTCTTTTTACATTAGGAAAGTAACAGTTGAATATTTTGTGTGTTTGTCAAAAGATGTGAAGCATTTATTGTCATGTCTAGAGAAAAAGACATCCTTTGTCATTGGATAAGGATATTATCATTATCATTAAGCAGAAACAAGTCACTTCTACAGAGTTTACTCATGTTTTAATGTGCTTACTTTTGCTTTTGTTAATTTGGGTTTGTTTGATTTAAATACTGTGCAGTTTGTGTTTTCTCGTCTTGATACAGGTTCACATTTAGTTTGCTTTTAGTTCTCCCCTGGGACAGCATTAAAGTTTAAATATGCATTATTGAGTTATTTTGTGACTAGACTGAGAAGTCTAAAGAGGTAAACGAAGAATAATTTGAATAGTACTTGTCTAGAAATTTACAAAACTTGAGTATATCATATCTTATCTTAGGCCACCTGCTGGTTGTTATGAATATTACAACAGCAGGCAGTTCAGATTTTTTGATAGACTACTTCATCAGAAGGGCCGGTCTGACCCAGAATTCCCGGGCCAAAAAAATTGTCCCACTCCGGCCATGGTTGTAGCAATAGAGAAAAACTGTACAGAAGCTATCAGATCACAAATAAAACTAGATGGCTCTGTGGGATGAGAGCGTAGGGGAAATGAGAAGCCTGTGAGCGAGTTGGGGGCGGAGCTAAACATTCAAACAGAGAAAAACCTGCAGGAACGGGTATAGCTCCTTTAACTCTGTGGCTGGACTTGGTACCGCTCTCCTTATTCTTCTCAGACGTGAAAGTGCTGTACCTTCTGTCCAAACCGATTCTTTTCTTCGTCTTTTGCTTGAATCCCGGGTTTTCGGAGTCAGGCCAGGTGGAGTCAGGCCAGGTGCGGTCAGACCAGGTGGAGTCAGGCCAGGTGCGGTCAGACCAGGTGGAGTCAGAGGCCAGGTGCGGTCAGACCAGGTGGAGGCGGGGGGGGGTCCAATGATTGTCTTGTGACTCTCATTAATTTCCTGAAGTCATTGCACTAGTCTGCAGTATGGTTTTCCTGCCTTGTCTAACTGCCAACATTGGAATATTATATGGCGATACTCTGACGCTTCGACAATGATTCCTGCCTTCACCAATTCTGACACTGTGTACTTCCAATTTGTCCCAGGAGTCCTGCATTAATGGGTATACTGCTTCTGAATAACACACTTGGTCACAACAGTAGTTTTATTGGCAGATCCCGCTGCTTTCCCGATGTCCAAATGCATGTTTATGTCCATAGCCTCTCAGGTAAAGTGTGTTTCTGCTCTTCATATAGGTTTGAATTTGGTATTTTCCGCTCCATGTGTCCTTGTTCCTCTGTACTTCCTGCATAGTGGCTTTATATTCAATTGGGTCATTGAATTTGATCACCTAACCTCCTGTGGGTTCACTATGGCAGTACAATGTATTGTAATTGTCCCTGTTGCACACACATTGTTTTGTAAATCACTGGCCCATTATCAGGCACACATTGGACCTAAATTCTTGGCCTCTTGCTTTGGACTCAATGCATCATTGTTTACATGTGGTGGGATTTGTCAACCCTAAATAATTGGGAGTGTGTCTGTGGTTTGAATTATGTGTTTGCAAACCCACCCCATTGTTCTCCCACCACTACGGCATTCAGCTTTTGTGTCACTTAGGATCTCCTACTCCTGAGTCTGGCATGCACAAGTCTTTGTACAATTCCCACAATCAAAAATAAGTTGTCATATGATGTTGATCTTCTGGATGCCTAAAATCTGCCTGTGTACAGTGTACGACCATCTACTGGAGACCGATGTGGGGCTATGCATCACTCAGTAACCATGGCAAAAATGGCTTAACTAGTTCATGCAATGTGTCAATGATTCTTCACTACCCTCTAGCGCAAAAAACTGTGGCTATGTTATACGTCAATTTTGTGTTTTCAGATTTTTGTTCCGCTGTACAACAGTTCACTTCGGACCACAATCCTGAACTTAACATGCCCAACTCATTAGACACTTCAATTTCATTCTAAAAAATATCCAATTTCTAAAGTTTTATCAATCCCTTCCCAATAGTGTGGGGACAGTTTGGGGCTATTAGAAAATCATGTTGAAAGTCTGCTTTACTCCTGATTTATAGGTAACTGTGCAGTCTAGAGTTTTGAGTAAAAAACTCTTGTCGCCAAACCATTAAATCCGATACGCATTTTCCACTTTGAGAGGGCTCTAGACTTGCATTTTAAGGAACTAAATGTGCTCAGTGTCTACCAACAGTATTCTGAAGGCTGTCCCTCAATTGTTATGGTGATAAATTTTGGAGACCACGTTAATGCTCCCTCTCTATCTAGGACCACGGCATCTTCATTTCG